TGCGGCCGGCCTGCGGGCTGGAGCGGGTGGCCGGTGTGGCGGCGGCTGGGGGCTTTCGTGGAGGAGGAGGGGGTGCCGGAGCCGCCGGCGAGGAGGAGATCAGCCCCGAGGATGACCAGAGAGCCAACCGCACGTTGTTCCTGGGCAACCTGGACATCACCGTGAGCGAGTCAGATTTACGTCGAGCTTTTGACCGTTTTGGGGTCATCACCGAGGTGGACATCAAAAGGCCGGGGCGCGGGCAGACCAGCACGTATGGTTTTCTTAAATTTGAAAATCTGGACATGGCGCACCGGGCCAAGTTGGCCATGTCAGGAAAGGTGCTTCTGCGCAACCCCATCAAGATTGGGTATGGTAAAGCCACGCCGACTACCAGGCTCTGGGTGGGTGGCCTTGGGCCCTGGGTGCCCCTCGCTGCCCTGGCCAGGGAGTTTGATCGGTTTGGCACCATTCGCACTATCGATTACCGCAAAGGTGATTCGTGGGCCTATATCCAGTATGAGAGCTTGGACGCGGCGCAGGCAGCGTGCACCCACATGCGTGGTTTTCCTTTGGGTGGGCCAGATCGCCGGCTCCGCGTAGATTTTGCTGACACTGAGCATCGGTACCAGCAGCCCTACCTGCAGCCTCTGCCCTTGCCGCCCCCTGCTCATTACGAGCTCGTGGCGGAGGCGGCTGCTTTTGGGGCTCACCGGGGAGCCCCACCCGATCCTCTTCGGGGGGCCCGGGACAGGACGCCACCGTTACTCTATAGAGACCGCGACAGAGACCTTTATCCTGAGACAGAGTGGGTGCCACCCCCGCCCCCTGTACGGGATAGGAGTAATCGGGCAGCTGCCTATGACCCACTGGAAAGCCTAGAGCGCCGCCGGGATGGTTGGTCCTTGGAACGGGACCGAGGGGAGAGGGAATTGGGCAGTAGTAGTAGGGATCAGCCTAGGAAACGGAGACTGGCGGAGGATGGAGGCCGGCACTTGGACCGCTCTCCAGACAGCGAGCGCTCTTCTTCCTCCCGGAAGCGTCACTGTTTAGCCACAACCTCTCCACCGGACCGCAGCCCCGAGCTCCTTGGAGGGAGGGAGCGTTACAGTAGTGACCCTGAGCGCTCGTCCTCCCGCTTGCTCCTGTTGGAGCGGCCCTCGCCTGTCCGGGAATCGCGCAGGGGCAGCCTGGAGCGGGGTCAGAACGAAAAGCGTGACCGCAAGAATTCCGCCGAACGGGAGCGGAAGCATCGCGCTTCTGCGGCAGCCGTCGCCCAGGAGTGCAAAAGTCCGGCCAAAAAGGATGAGCGCGCTACGGAAGGAGGCGGCGGAGGCTCCCGCCTCAAACCTCCTCCTCAGAAGCAGCAGCAGGACGGAGCGTCGCAGGCCGGGGGAGCCCCCAAGCTGTGCTTGGCTTGGCAGGGGATGCTTCTGCTGAAGAACAGCAACTTCCCGTCCAATATGCACCTGCTTCAGGGGGACCTCGGTGTTGCCAGCAGTCTCCTCGTGGAGGGAGCGACTGGGGGGAAAGTAGCTCAGCTCAAGATCACCCAACGTCTTCGCCTGGACCAGCCCAAGCTGGATGAGGTCAATCGTCGCATCAAAGTGGCGGGTCCCAACGGCTACGCCATCCTTTTGGCCGTGCCCGGCGCATCAGACAACCGCTCCGCAGCTGGAGCTGCCGAGGCTGCCACCACCTCCACCCAGAGGCCACTCAGGAATCTGGTGTCCTATCTAAAGCAAAAGCAGGCTGCTGGGGTGATCAGCCTCCCTGTGGGGGGTAACAAAGACAAGGAGAACAGCGGGGTCCTGCACGCCTTTCCGCCCTGCGATTTCTCCCAGCAATTCCTGGACTCCACGGCCAAGGCGCTGGCCAAATCAGAGGACGACTATCTGGTCATGATCATTGTCCGTGGGGCGTCCTAAGGCCCTCATGTTCTCTGTACCCAACCCTGCCTACTCCTCCACACAGCCCCTCCAGCGTGTGCCAGGTGCTATGGGATACAGCCTTAGCCAGCCCTGTCATTATTTTAAATTAGATCTTTGTTTGTAGGTGACTTTCCTTGCCCGTTTTTCTGTTACTACATTTTTCTATAAAGTTAGAAGCCAGAAAGGTTGGTTAGCCGGTAGCGTGAATAGGATATTTTGAGAATCCCCTCTCAGTGGGGATAGCAGGGAGGCTAGGCCTGCTTCGTTTAAAAAAAAAAAAAAAAAAGAAAAAAAAAAAAGAGGAAAAACAAAAACTGGGGGTGGGAGGGGAAGAACAAACTCCCGTCTTCTTAATTTTGATTCGTGTCCTTTTTTCATTTCATGTATTTTAAAGCAAGTTCAATAGCTCATCCTCGATAGAGTTACAAACCTAAAAGACCAGATTTAAAGCACTCAGTAGTTCAAATGGAAAACCACATACTTCCTAGCGGACTGGTGTCAACTCATTTTTCGAGTCCTTGAAATTCTGTGACGGCCTCAGGCCGGCGGCCCTTTGGCACGCGTGATCCCTTTCCTCAGGAGCCTGAATGGTTTCCCTTTGAGTTGCATGGCTCAAGGTTGATGTCTTTCAGGTGACCAGCACCTGCTCTCGGGTACACTGCAGAACATTGAATTCCTTTATTGGGTGTTTGAGAATTTCATCCAGCCCCTCAAAATGCATGCACTGAAAGTATGCTTTTTTTAACAGGTGTATTTCTCCTATTTCTCTGAGTTCTGTTGTATCCCATATATGCACTTTGGGTTTGTAGCAGTGACAATGTTTGGTAAATAGCTGAGGACTTTGTTACAAACCATGAATGTCTTGTGCTTACTCTGGTATGCAAGAAACAAGGAGGTGCTTTAAGAGTAACTTTAGTTATATTGTGGTTTTTTGTTTTTACTGCCTTTTTTTTTTTTTTTTCCTTCAAAGAGTTGCAGGTACAGTGGGGTCTGGTTCCACAGTGCAAACTCTGAGCAAGTGTGCTTCTCTCCAGAGATGGTTTTAATTCTGTGATAATTTAATTACATAAAAGTTCTCATTAACATTTTACCTCTTTGTTAATAGCAAGAAACTGCTGTCTGCTAGGGACTTTTCAGGTACAGTGCAGTGGGCATTACATGAGGTTTATCATTTTATAGGCATCTGGAGTAAAGTGTTTTCAGCATCTTGGAGAAGTATTAAAAGTACTCCGAGACGCTGAGGGTTGAGCTCTTGTTCCTGCGATTCTAGGAGGAAACAGTTTGCTTTTTTTCAAAGAACTTAGTTCATTTTCTCTTACGTTTTTTCCCCGCTCATTGGGCACTTTTCTCCAGCTGTCTTGGCCACCTTGCTAATACAGGCGTTTAGGAGGGAAGAAGGGATCTGAATCCCTGTCGTTTTGTTTAACAAGCGGAAGGATGCTGCAGCGAGCTTCTAAACTGAAGCGTAAATCTGACTGTGTCTATTTACAGGCCCCCAAAATGTAACCTTGCACTTAAACCCGGAATGTAGTCTTGCACTTAGCCACGTTTTCAGAGACTTGGGCAATGTAAAAGCGATGCTGCTTCACTCGGTCGATCCTCCGCTGTGTTCCTTGGGCAGTCGATACAGGGACAGGTCGGTTTCCGTTTCGACTTGCACGACACGAAAACGGAATTCAAAATGCAGAGTAGTGCACGAAGGAGGAAATGTCTTGAATGTATTTTATGGGCACAGCAGTTCTGAAGTGTGACTGTACTTGCTTGAGATTCACTGTCACAAAAATACGAATTTCTGTAACGCCGCTTTACTGAACCACTCGTCAGAGAGTGCTTTGGTTTATGTGGGCTTTGATTTCCTTTATCTGACCGGAATGAGTAGACGTAGTATCCCAAGCATCGCGGTGAACTGAGAACTTGAATGTGGCAGCATATCTCGGTAACAGATTTTGGTTTTAGAGCTACTTTTCTTTCTAAATGGAAAGTTACAAGCCTCATTTAATGCTCTTAAATGTTTGAGGGTAAAATCCAGGATTTCTGGGTTGTTGTCCTTCAGCGTGAATGTAATAGACTTCGATGGCAGAATTCAGCTGTTCATCTTACTATTAACAATGAGAATTTTTTGAAATGACACCGATAACGCAAATAATTATATGTTTTAGAAGATAACAGTGTATTTACCGCTTACTGCAAAGAATGTCTGTTTTAATTCTGGCAGGTGTCTGTTGTGTGTCAGCAGGTGACCAGCACTGCTGCTAACTCACTTGAAGTGCTGCTAGCGTTCAGAGTGAGTTTTCGCGTTGCATCTGACGAGAGTCACTTGCAAGCGGGGGGTTTTAAAGGAAAGAAACTTAAACCGCTGGGAATTCAAATCTGCCCTAAACCAAAAAAAAAAAAAAAAAGAAAAAAAGAAGCACTAACGTTCAAATCTGCCCTAAACCAAAAAAAAAAAAAGAAAAAAAAGAAGCACTAACGTCGTTCGTGTTCAACACTTAAACTTGCTGAGAACAGTGTTTGTTACGCTGATACGCAGTAGGCACCTGGTTTTAAAACCCATAAAACTTGGGGTCAACATAGCTTGTCAAAGCAAACTCAGTGTGGGAACCCTTTTGGAAAGAGCATCCTAGGTGCACTTCCACTTTTCCTGGTAAAATAGCGGTGGTTATACCTGCCACGGGCTTTTATGAGTCAAAATTGTGCTGCGCTGGAGGGTAATAAGGAACAGGCGAGGCTGTATGTGACTCCAGGTTTTCTGGTTCCTTATTTAATGGAGTACCTGCTTCTTTAAATCTGGTTTATTTGTGGTTGCTGCTCTGTTTTGTAAGCAGGGATTTTAACACCCTTTGAGGGTTCTTAATGTCAAAACATGGTTGACTGGCAACATTTTTTTTGCCGGCACTTAAGTTCACGTGCTGCCATCAAGGCTGGTACAGCTTGGTGGGCTGTGCTTTTCTCTTAGGCTCTGAAGTGTGCACCATTGGAGTAACTGTCCACTAAAAGTCATCTTGGCCAGGGCTGACCGCGAGTAGAAGTCCGTATGTAATACCACTTCTGTATAGAGCAAAACAGACGTAGCAGACTTTAGCTCTCTCGTTGTGTTTGGCATTTACGTTGCTCTAGCGAGAGCTCGCAATTTCTTCTAACGTTGTGTGCAGCTGATGTTCCTGTATTTCATTCGTTTGTTGAAATAGCGTGGAAAAAGGATGTCCTTTTCCTGAATCATTTCATAGTTGTGCTTTATGCTTTGGGGAAAGAACCTCAAATGACTCATACTTTTGTTTAAGGTTTTAGGGTTGGGGTTTTTGTTGTTTTTTTTTTTTTTTTAATTGGAAAATTTACGCAACTTCCTTGGCTGCCGGCCAGTGGCTTTGTTTGCTCCCGTCTAGTGACCGGTCCGCCGTTCACTGGGACTGCGGCGCGGACACTGAGGTTATCCTCAACTCCAGAGGTTTCAGGCTCCTGGGTTACAAGTACCGACGCATCCTTGTGAGCATCGTAGAGAGAGAAGGGCGTTACGTGCCAGGCAGACAAATCTTACCCTCTCTTTTTTTTTTAAACAAGGATGTTAAAGGATTGAAATATTTTGGTGACAACTTGCTCAGCCCCCTGTGGAGGGCCGAGAAGGGAGTTTTAGATTTCTTGCATTGGTTGAGGAACCATCTGGTTGATGGTAACTGAGGTTAAAGGCCTTAAGTGTTAATGGGGAGGAGGTGTGAATCAAAATTGTGAAGACAGGTTCAAAAACTCTGAGGACTCAGGGAAAAACGGCTTGGAAAATGGTAGTTCCTGGCTTTAAGAAAAACAGTGTTGAGGGCAGTACTCCTGGGGAGTCTGCTGTATGCCTGTTGAACAGAAACAAGAGCGGAAGAAATTATTGCCGTGTGACTATAGAGTTTTTGGGGTTCTTTCCCCTTTGTCTCCCCCCTTTATTACTTTCCGCAGATAGCACGGAAGGACAGATATTCCAATGATTTATAAACTGAATGATGAGATGATTTTTGTATTAGGCTTAAAGCAGACCGTATGGTTCAGAGAATGGTTAATTGAATATTCAACTTCATGCAGTTTTGATTGTGTGAAAATGATGGATGAGAAACATTACTTGAATAGTAACAATTTTAAATTATATTAGGTGTGTCTTTGATTTGACCTTTAATATTGGAGTTGTCTGCTGTTAGAATTACGCAGCAAAATGAGAACAAAAGAGAAACTTGTAACACTACATTTCGTATTTTTGTTGATGAGTTGCCTTCAGGAAATACCCTTTGAGGAAAGTCAACCGAATTATCAATAGTTCGGTTGGTTTTTCTCATGGTTAATTATTTTGATGTGTCCCGTTAACTGTTACTGAAAGTTGAATAATCATCAGTACTGTAAGCCTAGTTTAACCTCGGTCCAAAAAGAAGCCCTGCACTACTTGTGATGCATCTATACATAGAAGGTGACTTCATTTCAAGGTTTCGTGCCCGTGGGTGGTATTGGTGCTTTTTGAAGTCCAAGTAGAATATTCAGAAAGGCCTTGTAGCTCTTTATGTTCATCTGTATAACGTAGGGAGGGGGAAAAAAAAAAAAATCTGTTGTATACATTTGTATTGAAATAACATTTTCTTTCCTCCTGCAAGCAAAGCTGGTGGACTGCAGAAGACAACCGCATGGGATACCAAGCTCTAATGGACCTTTGGGAAGAGAAGCTGTGGCTTGTGTGGAATTTACATGGGCCTCTTGATGGAAGAAAGCTTATCTGTTTAGTATTTGTGCATTTTACTAAAATGGCAGCTTTAAAAAAAAAAAAAAAAAGTTGTGTATCTGCTATTGTGATGCCAATGCCCGTGTTTTAAGTGGAAAAAAAAAAAAAAATGACCTCTTTGCTTTGTGCTGTGTACACAAGATTGCTGGAAAAGTAAAGGAATACCCTTTTTATGGCTCACACAGCTTAAAAGTAGCTGTCACTCAAACATGCGCTCACAGTTGAGCTGATTTTGTTTCATTCTAAATAAATTGTTTCTTTTGAGGAAAATGGTTTTTCTGCCTGGAAGTGAATTGACGACAAACGTTTGACCCCTTTGTTTGCAGCGGAGGGGTTACTTGCTGCTGCTGCTCAATGTTTGATCTGATAGTTGTGGGTCTTGAGCAAGAAGCAGGGAGACCGACACTTTCGCGTTGACCAGCCTGTTGTACCAAATCTGAAGAAATCTAGTTGATTGTCTTGCTGTGGCACCCCCTTTGTTTGCGGTGAAAAAGGGGGTCACTTGCTGCTTTACTCCTCATCTTGACGA